TCTAAATAGTAAGCTCCTTCAGGATTGGGTACCTGCCTTGCTCATTTAGATTTCTCAGCATCCAGCAAATAGATACTGAATAATTTTAACAAGAAGAACATGAGTGGGGAGGGCCTTGAAGTAGGATTTGCTAGATTGAAATGGAGCATAAAGGGTGAGGATGGAAAGAAGAATCCAGGGGAAGACAGCAGCATTGGCAGAGTCAAGGGAGTCTGGAGTTTCCCATTGTTCAGCATGGCTGGTCTGGGGTGTGGTGTGAGGAGTTGGGGAGGGATGAGGCTTGGAAGAGAGACTGAAGACTCATTATGAAGGGCTTTGTATTCCACACAAGAGTAGACACTCTAACCAACACAAGCATCTCTATTCCTTTTTTTTTTTTTTGAGTTGGAGTCTCACTCTGTCGCCCAGACTGGAGTGCAATGGCACGCTTCAGGCCACCGCAGCCTCGACCTGCTGGGTTCTAGCGATCCTTCCACCTCAGTCTTCCAAGTAGCCAGAACTACAGGCGTGCACTACCACACCTGGCTAATTTTTTGGATTTATTGTAGAGATGAGGTCTTGCCAAGTTGCCCGGGTGGGTTTTGAACCCGTGGGCTCAGGCAATCCGCTCGCCTCAGCCTCCCAAAGTGCTGGGATTATAGGCTGAGCCACTGAACCCGGCCTCATTCTTTCAACATCTGTTGAGCATCTGTACGTCTTATTCCCTCCAGCTTCTCTCATGGGGGAAGAATACTTGTGACATAGTCTGAGTGCCCTGAAATGTGGACCTGTTGTTTATGACCACAAAAAAACTTTGGTCCCAGAGTCCTGGGGTGTGTTTCAGGGCGGTAACACTCATCTTTTCACTTTCAGAGTTGAAGGTGGGGACATTCCCTCAGTAACTCTCATGTCCACCAAGTCTTTTAATATTATTTATTTGTTTGTTTGTTTGTCTGTTGCCCAGGTTGGAGTGCAGTGGTATGATCACAGCTCACCACAGCCTTGACCTCCTGGGCTCAGGTGATCCTTCCAGTTCAACCTCCTGAGTAGCTGGAACTACAGGTACGTGCCATCACACTGGCTAATATTTTAAATTGTTTGTAGAGACGAAGTCTTTCTACGTTGCCCAGATTGGTCTCAAGTTCCTGGTCTCAAGCAATCCTTTTGCCTCAGCACTCCCAAAGTGCTGGGATTGGAGGTGTGAACTATCACAACCTGCCCCTCCAGGCCTTTTAGCTTTGAGGTTTTGGGGACCTGGGGAGATTGGTCTGCCCCAGTCATCCCCTGCACTGAATCCAGATGAGTTTTCTCTTTTCTTCAGCCCTGCCCCCGCACCTAAGAGAACCAAACCCTGGGCAAAGGAAGGGAGGGGTAGCAGAAAGGAAGTAAGAGCAGCAGTTGCCACTAAACAAGGTGGTTTTGCAACTTTCTGGTAGAGAACAGTGTTTTGTTGGGGGAGAGGGTAGAGTCAGGGAGGATAGTGGACTCTGCACACCCGGAGCTGGGTGGTGAGGGAGGTGGAGTTAGAGACAGACACAGGCAAACAGATATGACTAAACTAAAAAGGAATTACAAGAATTTACAGGCAAGGGAGCAAACGAGACTCGATGGCAGTGGATATATATTGAGTGTTCTTTGTAGGGTAACACAGAGAAAGCAGTTTCCAGGTGTCATATCATTTCATCCTCCCAGCAACTCCAGGAGATACATACTATCTCAGTGGGGAAAGTTAGCTCTATAAATTGAGGCTCAAGAGTCTAAGTGGCTGGGTGTGGTGGCTCACACCTGTAATCCCAGTACTTTGGGAGGCAGAGGAGAGAGGATTGCCTGAACCCACGGGTTCAAGACCCACCCGGGCAACTTGGCAAGACCTCGTCTCTACATAAATCCACAAAATTAGCCAGGTGTGGTAGCACATGCCTGTAGTTCCAGCTACTTGGAAGGCTGAGGTAGAAGGATCGCTGGAGCCCAGCAGGTTGAGCCTGCAGTGGCCAGGAGCGTGCCACTGCACTCCAGTCTGGGCAACAGCGAGATTCCAACTCAAAAAAAAATAAAAACAAAAACAAAAAAGAATGAATAAGCTCTCCTGGCCCACTTCCTAATGAATGCCCACGTAATGCCAACCCCTAAAGTCCTGTCCTGAGAATTCTACCCAGATTTGCCTGGCCTGGCAGTTGAGAAGTTAGAATAGATATTATGAGAGAGCAAGAGGAAGAAGGGAAATGTGAAAAAATGGTGACAGCTGGTGAATCTGGGTGGAAATATTCCTGTGTTTACTTACCTATTCTTTTAACTTTTCTGTAGACTAGGGTGGAGAGAGGATAAAATTTTTTTTAAATGACTGCATACATTTTTGGTGGCTACAGTTCCTCACTATCATCTCTCCCTATAATCATTTTTTTTTTTGTTTTTGAGTTGGAGTCTCACTCTGGTCACCCAGACTGGAGTGCAGTGGCACGCTCCTGGCCACCGCAGCTTCAACCTGCTGGGCTCCGGTGATTCTTCTGCCTCAGCCTTCCAAGTAGCTGGAACTACAGGCGTGCGCTACCACGCCCTGCTAGTTTTTGATTTATTGTAGAGATGAGGTCTTGCCAAGTTGCCCGGGCAGGTCTCAAACCCGCAGGCTCAGGCAATCCACTTGCCTTGGCCTCCCAAAGTGCTGGGATTACAGGCTGAGCCCAGCCTCCCTATAATCATTTATTACATGTCAGTTAATTCCTTCAATTGGGGATCTTTGAATAGGGCCTGGCTATTATGGAATTTTGCTGAAATTTTTTCTTAGGCGCAGTAATTTTATTGTGGTTACGTAAGACATCTTTATTTTTAGGTTATGTGCTAAAGTAGGCCTTCCTCATGGCCCCAATATACTTTTTCTAGACTCTTCTCCCACCACCCCCGGGGGCCCCAGCTCAGCTGCATTCCACACTCGTCTGCCTGAAAGTATTCTCATCTAGAATGCTCCCACCACTTGCCCGAGGAAGACTCATCATCCACAGCTCTTATTTCAGATTCAGCCTCCACTACAAAGCCTCCCTCTCCTCAATCTTTCCCTCCTCTGAATTCCGGCAGACCTGCATACCTTATCTTACCCTTTCTTCCCAGACTATAAGCTTCTGGCAGGCAAGAATGTCTCTTACCTCGAATCTGCGGGGAGGGGGGTAGGGAGGTGCGGAGGTGGGATTGACAGTAATCGATATCTGCCTGGGGAAGGGGAGGGCACACCTCATCGATAAGGGTACCTGCACATGAATATTTGTATACCTAGCCCTGAATTGTACCCCACAATTTTAAATAAAAATTAAAAGAGGAAAAAAAACTACCAAAAAAAAATGTCTCTTACCTCTAACTGCCCTCCCAAGTCCAGCCCAGGACCCTGAACAAAGGAGTTTTTCTGTACAGATCTGTTGAATTAAGCCCTCTGAGATAGAAACTGAATTAAATTCAACAGGCAGAAAGACCGACAAAGGAGTGGTAAACAGTGACCTTTCTCAGAGGAGATCTGAGAGGGGAGCCGAGAAGTCATGAACAGATGGTGGAAGCAGCACTGTGGCTTGAAATGTGAAGCTGTGTCCGACTGTAAACACACAGTAAGGCCAGCTTGAGTCCAGTCTCATGGTGAGCGGGAACTGGAAAACAGACCTGGGAGAATGTTCCACCTCTATGGTATTTAACAGTCACCAGATCTTCACTCCGGCTTTTCAGAGGACTCCTGAGCAAGTGTTGTGACTCCTGAGCGCTGCTCCTGCTGAGAGGAGCAGCAGGAAGTGGGGGAGGCACAGCTGTCAGAGAGGCTTATCAGGAACCTTGTGAAGACAGCAGTCTGAGATTAGGATTTAAGGCAGGGCACCTGGCTTTCTCTCAGCCACAGTTCTGCTGCTTACCAACCTCTCTGGAGCCTTGTTTCCTCATTTCTAAAATTGGGATACCGACACTAGTAACTTGCTTAGAGGGTTGAAAAGATGAGGTTAAGATCATATCGCTACAATGTTAGCTCCATAAAGGGAAGCTAACATTCTAGCAATTTTTTTTTTTGAGCTGGACTCTCACTCTGTCGCCCAGACTGGAGTGCAGTGGCCGCTCCCAGTCACCGCAGTCTTGACCTGCTGGACTCCGGTGATCCTTCCGCCTCAGCCTTCCAAGTAACTGGAACTACAGGCGCGCAATACCACGCCCGGCTAATTTTTTGATTTATTGTGGAGATGAGGTCTCGCCAAGTTGCCCAGGCAGCTCTCGGACCCGCGGGCTCAGGCAATTCACTCACCTCGGCCTCCCAAAGCGTGGGATTACAGGCTGAGCCACCAAGCCTGGCCGATCATCTCTTTCGTATACATCCCCGTGCCTGGTCCATAATAAGCACTTGATATTTGACGCATCTCACTGCTTGACACATTAGTGATTTCATGTTACTCAGAAGATTACATCCGACTGCTAATAGAAAAATCGAAAAACATTGCAGAGAATACTTGCATTTTAGTGCAGCTTTCTCCCTCTTTATCTTGTCCTCAATAATCTCCTGAGACTCAAGGACTCTGGCTCCAGGCTGAGCTGAGTCCCGCCCTCCACTCCTCGCCATTTCCACCTTCTCCAAGTTCAGTGTCAGCCTGACCCTGTGTCCATTCTAGGTTCAGCCTATCTTGCTTTCTGCATCTATCTGGGAATTGCCCAGGGCAGATAAGAATTTGATCCTCTCTCTCTCCACCTCCTAAGGGCTCAGGACAGGAAGAACTGGGTGCGACCTGGGTGGCTGGTTCTCCACTTGGGAAGTTTCTCACTCTGAGGTTCAAGAAGCCTCCTCCCCTTTTCAATTTAGTGTTCTGACCATATTGAATTTCATCAAGAACATCAGCCCTCTCATCTGACAGATGCAGGATCTGAAGCCCAGAGCAGGACGTTATTTACCTAAGGTCTTGGAGTGCATGTGTAAAAAGGAGAGAAAGCCCCAAGCAAGGGCACAGTGTTGGCAGGCGGCTAGATGGAGACCAAGGGTCAAAGAGCGAGTCGGGAATCAACTGATATGTCTTTTTCAAGTTACTGTTATTCATGAGTGTTTTGTCTTGGAATTTTTTTGTTTTGTTGTGTTTTTCAACCCCAATGTAGTCTTCTCTCTGCTATCTCCTGCTCCTCCACCCTGCTTCTAGTCAGACTACAGGCACTGCTCTGAGGTCTATCAGAGACAAGGGCCAAGGTGAAGTGAAGGTGGTTAACCAACAGTGGCCACACGAAAATCTTTCCCTTTTCCTCCTTTCTTTCCCCTGACTTCAAAAGATAGAAAGAGTAAATCCAGCCCCTCCTTCTCACTGTGGCTTCTCAAGTCTACCCCTGCAGTACATTGCATCAGCTCTCTGCTGATAGTCCCACGAGGGAGAGCCCGTCAGACTTAATCCTTCCCAGGACCCAAGCCAGTGCTCCACCTTAGACGATAGCATGAATATTTCAATTGTTCAGCATGTGCTGTTCATCCAAATGCTTCTAAGCCCATCAGCCCTTAGAAAACCAAGTCTATCTCAGGTCCTTCTTGTCTCTGCCTCCTCCTCTTCTTCTACCTTATGTGTCTTCTCATACCTCCTTGTTTACTAGGGTGTTGGGAGGTGAGAAGAAAATACTCTGGACAGGTAGAAATTAAAATGCCATTAAAATGTGTAGAGAGTTGGGCCAAGCATGGTGGCTCATGCCTATGATCCCGGTACTTTGGGAGGCCGAGGAGGGAGGCTCGCTTGAGCTCAGGAGTTCAACACCAGCCTGGGCAATACAGCCAGACCCCAGCTCTATTTTTAAAAATATGCACGCGCCTTTGGGAGGCTGAGGTGAGTGGATTGCCTGAGCCCGCGGGTTCGAGACCCGCCTGGGCAGCGAGACCTCATCTCTACAATAAATAAAAAAATCAGCCGGGCGTGGTAGTGCATGCCTGTAATTCCGGCTACTCGGAAGGCTGAGGCGGAAGGATCGCCGGAGCCCAGCAGGTCGAGGCTGCGGTGGCCGGGAACGGCCACTGCACTCCAGGCTGGGCGACAGAGTGAGACTCCAACTCAAAAAAAAAAAAAAAAAAATGCAACGAGTGTCCACAGGATCTCAACAGGCAGGCAAATTACAGATGGGTGGCCTAGCTAAATGCTGGTGCTGGGGCAGGGCCACCCAGCACTCAACAAGGACACAATCTGAACAGAGATCTCATCAGAGGAGGGTACAGGAAGGAGATATGGGCTCCGGCTTACATCAGCTTGAACAACACCCAGGGACCATTCCGGCTAGGGGCAGAGAGAACCACCCAGAACTAGTCTAGTCTTCCATGAACTCTCTCAATCCAAGCCAAGTAGGGTTACAGGCTGGCATCACAGCCGGCTGTTGCTGTCTTTGACCTTGGGGACATGAACACATGACCCTCCAACTTCTTCATCATCTGTAAAACACCACCCTGGCCGGATGGCCAGAACAGAACTCGGGACACAGTTGGCCGCGACGTTAGTGCCCTTCTTTCACCTTTGCTGGGCCGGCCTGAGGGTTGAGGTTCCCGAGGGCAGTTGTGCCTCGGCTTCCCCCATCCTTGCGCACGACCGGTGGCGTCCTCCCGTCTCGCTCAGATCTGCCAGCGTTCACGCAAGCCCACTCCCCGCTCCCGTGTCCCCAGAGGGCCGGAGACCTCCT